TCTTGTGCGGCAGAGTTCCCTAGTGCAATGCTTCTTTTGGTCTCTTGACTGCTGCTTCCATGAGCATTGATTGTAGATCCAAGCAAGACAAAATCCTTGACAATTTCAACCTTTTCTCCATGTATCATGATGTTACCATGTATCATGATGTCCAGTTTTTGGTTTTGATATTGAGTTCCAATCCACACTAAAGGCAGAGAGATAAAATCCTACCACAGGCAGCACTTTAGGATCCTGAAATGCCCTTTCTGACAATGAAAGCAACAACACTGCCCTCGAGTGTGTCATTCCCGGCCTAGTAAACCATATGATTTTCTGATTCAAATTGGCCAAGACCAGTCCATTGGAGCTCGCTCAAGCCTAGGATAGTGATCTTTATGCGTTCCATTTCATTTTTGATGATCTCCAATTTTCCTACATTCATGCTTAGTCCATACCAAACTCTGGTGATTAGCAAATCTGTGCAGCTGTTTCTTCCCACCTTGAACTGTGCCCCACCAGCAATTGATGATCAGGAAGGTGCCACGTCCACAGGCTTTGTTCCATTCGTGTCACCGTACTCGACTGCACTTTGAGCAAACAGCTCCTCGTCAGTCACACCTGAAGGGTCTGTCCTGCGGCACTATCTCCAACAATGTTCTGCCTCCGTTCATTAGACCTTCCATATCTGACAGTGGTTTGAAGCTATGCGTGAGGTTTTCAATGTTTCCTTCCTCCAAAGTGGGCAGCCAATTTCTTCTTTATAAGCCTTTCTTAGTCTGGAGGCTCCACTGGCACCTGTTCACTGTGGGTGACCCTGCTGGCATTTGAGATGCCAGCAACATAGCTTCCAGCATCACAGCAACACACAAGCCACCGCAGTATGACAAACTGACAGACAACATTGCACATTGAGGGTTAACTTTTTCCCCCTTGTTCTGTCACCTTGAGTAATACTGACTTTTTTCTTTTCGTTTGTCTTTAACTTCCAAGTCTTGGCACATTTCATTATAATAGTTTGTCTTCTCATTCTACCCTTTGAAATCTCGTGTTTGGCTTTTTTTATTTCATCATTTCTTCCTTTTTAATTTAGCTTTCAAGAGCAAGTCTGAGAGTGTCTTCTCACGTCCATTTTGGCCTTCACTTTCTTTCCTGTCTTTTTAATCGCTATTTGCTTTCTTCTTTGAAGTCTTTGAAAAGGTCTTTAAGTCATCTCACATTTCATTTTGTTTCCAGTAAGTTAATACAGGATACATCAAAGCTATCCCTGATGGTCTTTTATTTCAAGTGGGATATTCAATTCAGTGGCTCCCATGTATGTCTCGCGCCCTGCCATAAATGGATTATCCCACCGCCAGCCATCCCCAACTCGAGGATGTGTAACACTGGCCTGCGTTCACCTGTCTGTGGTTGAGTGGTGCCGTGTCCATTCTGACTCATGGCAACTCTGTGACCCAGCAGAACTGCCCCCACAGGCAGTCATCTTATGCAAGTGGGTCACCGCATTTTTCTCCTGCAGGGACACGCCTGTTAACATGCTTACAACCATCCATTCACTCAGTTTCCCTCCTCTGAAACTTGGGGCAGGGCAGGCTTAATGAACATGTGACCCATCCAGTCCACCTGCCCCAGGCTCAGGAGGGACCCATGCTCTGCACTCCCAGTCTGAGCTGGCATGAGTTGCGAACTTGCACTCAATCAACACATCAGAACGCGAGGGGCCGCCTGCCTGAGGGTGCTGTGTTCCGCTGCAGCAGAGCTCCAATGGCCCCGTGAAGAAGTCCATGCGGGAGAAGGCGGTGGAGAGAAGGAGTGTGAACAAAGAGCACAACAGCAACTTCAAAGCCGGCTACATCCCCATCGACGAAGACCGCCTCCACAGAACGGGACTGAGGGGCCGGAAGGGCAATCTAGCCATCTGTGTCCTCGTCCTCCTGTTGGTCCTGGCTGTCATCAATTTAACTGTGAGTATGCGCACAGTGTCCCTTCAAAATTGCCATGGCGATTGTCATCGAGCTGTAGCAAAATCACCATTTCTATCATTCCTTTCATTACCTTCTTATTTTCTGCTTTCATAGATACATACACATGTACCCATACAAACGCTCTATAGTGTGATGCATATGGGTGTCAAACCCTCTAAAA